AAAATCGTCTACCATGATGAAGTCATCCTTCATCTCACAGATGCAAGGATGGTTCAACATACAAAAATCTATTCAGGGTCCTGCCCACTTTAAGTTCCTACCATGACATCCTTTAATAGTGAACAACAATATGGCAGTATAAGCCAAATTATCTCTTTTCTCCCAATCTTGCATTTTGGTCATCATGTTTCATCACAACAGAAACCCTAATTAAGACACCACATTCGGTTGATATGTATGAGAGACCTGCTCTTCTCTAAAGTTAAACAAAGAAGAGAGATTTGGGGGAAGGTTGGGACAGAGAGCAATGGTGGGAGGAAACACTGCAGTCAAGATGAAAGAAGAATAAATAAAAGACAAATGAAAGAGAGGAATGAGGGAAACTGAGGTAAGATTGGGTCAAGGAAAGATGAAAACTTAGCAGGGCAAATGACAAATCTTGTGGCTCTATCTCAGGTATATGGGCTTTATTTCCAAAGGGCTTAGAAAGTTCTATCCATGCTGAAGCATTAATCTAATTGACATTTAACAATAAGAAATCAGGAGTCAGAGAGCAGGGTAAGAAACTGAAAGATCAGAGAAGCAGTTAACCAGCAAATTGTGACTACCACCTCTTCAGTTTCTCCATGTTAGTAAAGTGCTAATATTCTCTTAGGCCTGCTTAGGAATCCTAACTCCTATCTGTCCAGAGTCCTCCAAACCTCTATGGTAAATTTTGGTCAGGTAGTGATTAGCTCTGCTGTAATGCTAAGCAAGCTTTATTATCAGAATATAATCAAAATATCACACATTTCCCTATTTGTCTAATTAAAAAGTGAAGGTTTAACTATCACAGTAAAGCTATATACACTAAATACAATAACTATATATAATATATACAGGGAAGAATTATACTAACAATGTCCAATCCATTTGCATTTGGTAAATTTAGAGAAAATGTTTGATCATCTATCCTATCTTAGTAAGCCCAAGGTGTTGTACATAAATTACTTTTTATCCTAACTGGTATTACCAACCTTAAATAATCTTTCTATGTCTTTTAGCCTTGTATACTTTATACATTTTTTAGTTCATTTTTTTTAATTTGTTAACATGCATAATTACAATTATAGAGTCTGTAGCTCCACCAGAGAACTCAGAAGGATATAATATTACCTGAATAAACAGGAAGTATAAAGCAAATAACATTTAAAATAAAAAAAAAACCATCTGTCTATTTAAAATGAATTTTTGCCAGGCTGTACTGGTCAATGCCATTAATTCCAGCACTTTCATAGCAGAAGCAGATATATCTCACTAAGTTAGAGACCAGCCTATCCTGCAAAATGAGTTCCAGAAAAGCCAGAGCAACACAGAGGAATCTGTCTTAAAAAAAAAAAAAAGGAAAAAAATGTCTTTTTGTTTCACCTTGAAAACACAACTAACATGATTATAAAAAGTGAGTGTTAGGCCAATTTATTCCTTTGGACAGGGATATTTTATTTGGATGATGTGTTATTTTTTATATATCCCAGCTGTCTAGTGGTTTTTAGATTCCTTAGTTTTATGTTTTCATACTTTTGTAAAGACAAAACAAAACTCTGCCTTCATCCTAACTTTATGAAGATTTATTGTTGGAAATTATATTTAATCAAAAGGAAAACATCTGTTAATCTTACATATTAGTTAAGATTGAATGGTAATGCCTCTGATGAACTATTGTCTCTTTTACTCAAGAGATATTTTGTTTGAAGCTAATCTTTAAGGATTGAAGTGGTCTCTATAACTTTATTCCCCAATTTAATACACATCTTGGTGTTTATTCTGAATGCAATGTATCTTTAAAGCATACAGGCTGATTTAATTTAGCAGGGCTTTTTTATTATCTAATGTTTCCCCACAGCTGTTATTTCCTTTTTCCTAGCATTTAAAATTTTTTTTTGTTTTTTAAACTTTTAATGATGTAAACAAAAATATACCTAAAAGCGAAACTTCAGGAAAAACCATTTGTTCTTCCCTGTCTTGTATCGTTCCTCAAATTTGACCTTGGCTTCCCGCCTTGCCTTGCGTTTTAGGGCTGGGTCCCTAAAGACATCCTTGTTGACAACAGTTTTGTCCAGGGGGATGTCCACAGAGTACGTTGTGGGCATCAGGTGGTTGTAGTTATAAACCTTCACAAAGGACTTGATCTTGGATCTCTTAGCGACTTTCTTCTTGCCCATGGCAGCCGTCACTTTTCGGGGATAGCGGTCAATTCCAGCCACCAGGGCATGGCTGTAAGGGCGGTCTGAGGTGCCATCATCAATGTTCTTCACGATGAGGGCTTTGCGTCCCGAGTAGCGTCCAGCCAGGACGAGCACCACTTTCCCGGGTTTCATGAACTTGCCCATTTCGACAGCAATCAGCCGGTTCCCAGCAGACGCATTTAAACATTTTAAAGTTAATAATCTATTCTGTAACTATTTCTGTGGTCTTAATTCCTCCTTTCTGTTAACTGAGCATATATTTTAAGATGCCTGATGAAGTGTTAATCGAATTAATCTTTTTCAATCCCAAAACAACCTAAAATGATTTAAAATCTGCTTCCTGCTTCATGGCATAGAGCAGAATATGTGGATTGTGCCCTATCTACCTGTCTACCACATTGCACACCTGAGAAATCTCTGCACATCAGAAACTCCTTTTGTCCCCTGGAACTAAGCTTCACTGGATCACACCATTGCAGCTAGTGGTAACACCATGTTAAAAGCACTCTACTCTACTATTGCTCTACCAGGTCCTAAACAATTTGTAATCTTTATAACACAAACCTGAAATTGGAATGCAATATTCAGAACTTCTAGAAACTAAACCTTCAGTTTTCTAATCTCTCTTCCCACTGTACAACAAAAGCAGTGCCCATGTGTGTACTCTGGACAGAGATACAACCAGCACCATTTCCTTCCATTCCAGGGCTGCAATATTTCTATATACAAGGAGGCTCAGAGAACAAGGGCCACTGCCTACATGAACCACATGGACCAACATAACTGCAGTCTAGCTCATGGTACTTCCAAGTCTCAGCAGAAATGACATTTCAACACACCTGCTCTGAACCCCCCCCCCCCCGCCCCATTACGGGATCACTTATGGTCTTCCTTACCACTCCCTACAGCAGAGACAGAAGGGAAACATGGAAAAAAACCTCACAAACTGTCTGCCACTAGTACTCTTGATTTCTAACCCTTCCCAGAATCCCTCACTAGCTAGGGCCACCCAGCTGGGCTTCTCAATATTAGCAGCTCCTCTACAGGAGGATCAGAAAGCAAATGACTCAGACAGCACAATCCTTCCAGTGCTGCCTTCCCAGCCCAGCAGACAGGGCCCCAGTTTAGACAATTTGTATTTAGTACACATTTTCCCACTCTACTAGAGCACATCCTATTCCTCATCCAAAGCACAGGGTCCTCTGTGTGCACATTCCAGTACATACACACTTTCCAGTGCAGTCATCCCATTGCCTCAGAGATGGGAAATCCTGCAGACAAACGGGTCACATTCAAAAGTAACTACTGTTACTGTGTAACTGTGGTTACTTTGTAACTGTTGTCAAAGAAGAACAGACCAGGAATTAGAAAACAATCCAGGGATCTTAGGGCTTGGAGGCAGCAAGGAGAATGTAAATATGATGTAGTTGTCATCTCAAAAACTATTTTGAAAACGTGAGACAGACTTTATGGTCATGTACTCTAGAGACTAGGGATTTGTATTAGAGCACATTAAAAATTTCTCATGTATTTTCTAATGATCAATGTCTTTGTAGAGAAAGGTTTAAAGATAAGGTCAGTCCCTTTCCCAGATTCCTTTTTGCATTGGTCTGTGGACTGCAAACAATGGTCAATCAGGACATTCATAGAGCATCTACAGTTGACTACCTGATTCCACATAGCTAATCTCAACTAATTATGAAGGGGAAAAGTTTTCACCCTCAGTCCAGCCTCTCCTTTTCTGCACTGTGTCTCCACCAGCTTCAATAAACTCTTCCTCCTATTGTAGTCTGAGGACAGAAGGAATGCTCCACATGCAAATCCTTTCCCTACAACTGCAATGCATAGTCAACTACATGACTCACATGCATAATTTTAAAACGGTGAGATTGTACAGCCATTTTTTGTAGGAATTTTTAAAGTGTAAAATACAGGACAGCAAGGTCATTGCCCTGGACAGAACAGACCAAGGCCACCTGAGTGAACATAAGAGCACTTGTCTCAGAAGCTATTTTTCTAACAGGATAGAAATGAAAGAATTAATATAACTTTCATTGAGAAATCACTGCACACACTTACGGTACCAAACTGTAATGCCTCCTTGAAAGGCTTGATAGAGATACGGGGATGTGCCTGGTGTCTGGTTTTAAATCAGCAGTGGATTCTTTGTAATGGTTTGGAGCCAAATATCTGGACAAGCCAGTTGAACAATGTGTACCCTAGCATCCTAAACTCTAACAGCCCTAATTAAAATACATTTAACTTTTGGGTGATTTAGAGGCAGTCCTCCCTCAGCTAAACTCTACTTTGGGAGACTGAACTATTTCCAAGGCATTGGCGAATCCTTTGTATCAGCAATTCTCCTCTTCTACGTTGCATTTTAGAAGTGCTGCACTACCCAACAGGTGAGATGCCTTGATACCGTCCACATAGTTAAACTTAAATGGAGATTTTATATAAAGGTTAAATGCAAAGTGCTCAATATGTAGAAGATGCTGAAGAAACGAGGCTTCCCTGACTTTGGCATATTGAAGTTGACAAGATGTTTGTACACACAGCACCCTGCTCCCAATTCTCTAAGCGGATTAAACCCAAAGCGCAAAGTTATTCAGAGGTCTGTCCCTAAGTCTAGGAATTAACAGGACAGCATGGGACTTCACAATGCAGAGAATCAGGCGGCAGGTTACCACGCGGATCTCGGGAGGACGCACCATGCTGTCTCCCGCACCTCACCCTCTGCTCCTCCCCATCTGGAGACAGCATTTCCCCACTCACCATGTTGTGGTTTTTCGGTTCGCCAAACGTCTCAGTTTATCAACTCCCTGCAGCAGCAACTTCACCAAAACACAGAAAACAAACGGCGCCAGCTCCTCTGCAAAATCGAGACTGAATGCGGATGCCCGGAAGAGCCCAGCACAACGTCTGACTGGCAGGTCACCTGGAGGGCCTGATTGGCTAGTGAGGCCTGAGTGACAAGAACACCTCCCACAGGACTGAAGTGCGCTTAAAGAGACAGCACAGAGATTTCGGGCCGCTCCAACCACAGATCTTTTCTTGATCGGCCGATATATGCATTTCAATAGCACTTGCACCTGGCTATAAAAGCAGACACCCTCATAACCTTGCACTCCACAGGAACTTTCCCTTTTACCTCCAGAATGCGACCTGGCCAGTTAGCTTGTACAGTGCACTGTGCTGTGCTAGGTGAGTGCAGGGATTTCCTGTCCCACAGGGGGAAGAATGCCCAGAATATTAACAGCTAAAGAGTTTTAAGGTCACAAAAGGAGATGTTTGTTTTGTGGCTTTATGCTGAGGTCAGATGAACTGAAGGTACTTTTTACATGGTTTTCACAGGGATTCACACAACAGAAAAGAGAAAAGCAGGAGCCAGATCTCAAACAAGATGACAGGTCTTTCCCCATCAGAAGGCTGGATGATGGCTCCATTGCTTTATGGGTTTTATTACTGAAATTTGAAGCAAACTCCAGGAAAATGAATAATAATAAAAAAGAGTAGTGTTCGTGGAAATGTGAATATGTAGAGAATAATGGAGCTAGAAGGAACTGCAGTATTCAAGATTCTCTACATGAACAGGATTGGTAGAATGAATCTCAACATGTATGTAAAAAGTGGGCATATTAAAAAGTTTCACAAGCTGTGTTTCAGGTTGTCTAAAAATAGCTACTTATAAATGACAATTAAAGAATCCTGTAGATTGCTTCTCAGCCTTTTCCCAAAGATCAAGTGAAGAATCCAGTAGTTGTTCAGCCCATGAGGCTTGATGTCTCAACTGGTTTTAAGTATTCACCAAAATTTCAAAGAAGTAGTCTCTAGTACTAGTAAAGGAATGAGCTTGGTAGCCAGAGCAAGTTGACAAAAAAGAGCCTTTTCTACTTCAATATTCTTTCTATGTAACTGCTCCTACCAGAAGGTGAGAAGGTTAAAGCTAGATCATAGTCTTGTTTGATTCAGATTTTCTTGTTTTGGTGATTTCAAGACAGGATTTTTCTGTTTAGGTTTGGACCTCATTCGGTAGGCCAGACTGGTCTCAAACTCAGAAAAATACCAGTGACTCTTGTTGTGCCCAGACTATGACCACCAGAGAGAGACCACCAGATAGGTTCAGACTGTGATAAGCAAGGTTTAATCAGCATAATACAAACATGTTTGGTACTCATCTCCACCCCTCTTACAGAAAGGTAGAGAGGAGTTGTATCTCCTCTGCGGGGTAAGCTTTTAAAGGCTTAACTACAAAGAGAATCTTTGATGTTGCCTTGGCATGGGAACAAGGACATTTGCTCCCTCCCATTCTGTTAAGACAGTTTCTTCTTGTTCTTAGAGCAAGGCCACTGTCCTTGAGTTAGGCCATCTTTAACAGCCTGTAGCAGGTGGCTGGCTGGGCTGACCTAGGTGACCTTCTGCTTGGAATCTTGCAGGTGGGAGAGGTGAAGGCCACTATCTTCCTGAGAAAACATTCTGCTAGGAAACAAGGGGTGAGGGTACCACACCTCTTGCTCCTGAGTCACAGTGTTAAAGGTGTGCATGGCAACCAAGCAGCTAAAGGTGGGTCCTATTATCTCAAACTATCCAGATTAGTGGAGGATTTTCCCATTCCAAAACCTTTAAGTAAAATCTCTCTCAGGTATAATTAATTCTTTGTGTATTAATTAATTCCAGAGGTAGTCAGTTTGACTACCAAAAATAGCCATTTCTACAGCCAAGACAAAAGAAATGATAAAAAATTATTCTTGCAGGAGGCACAAAGTGCATGGGAGTTATTTTTTTCCTCAACAAAGGAAGAATGGGGATTTTGCTTAGGATGTTTGAACATGCTTATGTAATGTTCTCCCTTTTCTTAAGCATGCTAAATTAACAAATCCACTAGTGAACATGATTACAATGTAAAAACAGATATTTAGGGACATTCTTACCACGAAGTCTTGTAGGAACATATCTAAATTAGACAAATGATGGAAAGAAATGTCTCTGGCATGTTCATATTTTACCATAAGGTCTTACTTGAAAATCAAGTAGATGACACTGTGAAAAGTTGATTGTCAATCTTGATGATCAATCTAAAAGATAACTGTACCAACATCATATATCTCACAGACACAAAAGATAGAGAACACAAAACCAGAAAACTTCAAGGAAAAGTCACCTAAAAGCCCTCTTTATGGTGCTCCTGGATGAACGGTTATGATGATCTCTGTTACTCTCAGAGCAAAGCTGGTTTTGCTCTGAGCAGGGTGGCAAGACAGAAGGCCACAGCTGCTTCCATGCAAGGTAAGAAGGAGTCCATTTTAACTAGACCTGACTTGCTGTCTGTCTCAGGGTCAGGACATCACTGTAGAGAATTTCATTCTTTCTTTTTTCTAATCTTAAAAAACATTTAGTTATATAGTGTTTTGCTTGCATGTGCCTATGCACAGTACCTACAGAGGGCAGAAGAAGGGATGAGATACCTGGGACTTGAATCAGAACAAATGGTGAGCTAGCATGCAGGGTCCAGGAATGGAATTAGGGTCCTTGTGAAAACACCCAGTGATGAGCCATATATCTAGCCCCTCTTTTCAATTTATAATTAATCTTTAAAAATTGTTAATCAATAGACAATACATCACTTTTTTTATCTCTTTATTCCATCCCTGGCACAATTCCCTTCCAACTTCATCCTTGTTAAGTGTGGATAAATATGTATGCTGAAATACATAAATATGTTATACCCAAATCTGCAAAGTCTTCAAAAAGTCAACAAGGAGATCAAGTACTATATATAAAAGCAAAGAGCCTTCATTTTATGCAAGTTTGCAAACTCGGTCTCTCTGCATGTCCTGTGTATTGGAATAACTGGAGAGCCCTGAGCTGAGTTAGAGTTTGGTTTTTATAGTAGTAAAGGTGGGGGGTGAGTGGTTTCTAAGGTTCAGGACCCCTGATTGGTTGACATTTGCCTAGGGGTGTCCTGGTGAGTGTGTGCTGGCAGATGATCCTATCTAAAATGGTTGGAATATTAGGCATTTCCTTTGGATGGTCTATTTTTGGGTAGTGCTTGGGTAATCTCAGTTTATATTGATATGGATTTTTGTATATTGATATAAATTTACAGTTGTTTTGTTAGAAAATTATATATATACATATATTTGTTTCTAATCTCAATCAAAGTATTGTACCTATATACCTTATTTAACAATTCAATGCAAATTCGTAGGCCTTGAAAGTTATTATATCAATTAATTAGAATATCATGAAATATAAATTAGTAGTCATTAATTATAATCCATCTCGTAGTTATATTAGGTATATTTTCAAAGTCAAGCTGAGATATATTTTAGATAACCTATGACAATTGGGCATGACTTACCATGGGTATATTTTTCTCTGTAAATGTGACCAAAAAAAGGGAGTAGAAGTTTATGTTCTGTCTTTATTAGTCAGAGCTGGTGCAATCTTGGCTGTTGGTCATCATAGCTCTTGGGAGAATTACATGACAGGAGCATCTAGAACAGTGGCATCTACCTAGTTCTCTATTTCTGAGTTTATTTTTCCTTTGAACCCTGAATAAATTGTTAAATACACTTTTGTGGGTTCTCACTTCAATAGGAAGCATGGTTGTGTGCACGCAGACTTGGTACTAAAGAAAGAGCTGAGAGCGCTACATCCAAATCACAAGGCAGCAGGTAGTGAAAAATGGTTATTTGTCCCTTGACCCAAGAATGAACAAGGAAAGTGGGCTACATTTACACAACTGAGTAATACACAGTAAAATAATGACATCTTGAAATTTGCAGGCAAATGGATGGATCTAGAAAACACTATATTGATTGAGGTAACCCAGACCCAGAAAGAAATATTGTATGTACTCACTCGTAAGTAACATTTAGACACAAAGTGAAGAAAAACCAGCCTAAAATTCACAATTCCAGAGAACCTAGACAACATGAGGACCCTAAAAGAGGCATACATGAATCTAATATACATGGAAAGTAGAAAAAGATAAAGTCATGACATCTGTTCTCAAACACAGTGGTGTTTGTTTATACAGCTTGTTGCCATGTAATAGAAAAGAACTTTTTCAATCCTGCTATTGACATGATATTTTCATGAATTATGATGTCATCATCACATTTCCAAACAATAATTATTCAGTTTCTACATTTCCTTATGCTAGAGGACCTGACAGACCCATATGGGATCTAATGTGTGCTATATATATATAAGACAAAGCCTATTCCTGATTATATCTTGAACATGAAGAAACAATGGAGTCAATTCTGCATCATCTAGTATAAATTCTGTGGTTTCAATATGCAAAATTGCTCTTTCTGCATATTGCAAATCAATAACTATGTTGAAAAGTCCTTTAAAATCCCTTAGTACAGAAAATAGAACACTAAGACAAATAACTATTAAAGAGACTAAAGATAATCTAAGATAAACTATAATTTTGCTCTAAACCTACATCATCCAAACCTCTCCAGAATCACAAAAGTACTAATCAATTGATTGTTCTTACAGAAGACCCAGTATAGGTGTGGCGTTCTTCTGGGAACAACTGTTCACAGTTGTTTAGTCCTGTGCCATTAGGCAGAAATTCACAATGACTGGAAAGGTTACTGAGAAGTTTCTTTATGACGTGGGGACTAGAAAGCAGAGAGAAGGAATACACGAAAGGCCAGGGAAATATATAACTTGCACAGCACATCTCCAGTGACCTACTTCCTCCAACTATGCTCTAAAGATCACACTAACCCCAAATGGTGCCACCATCTGGGAAACAAGTCAATAAGCATACGAACTATGGGCTCATTTCATTTTCAAACTCTAACCGTGGCAATGAACTCCTAAACACTAAAGCTAGACTTCACAATTGA